CACACACACACACCGTGCAAAGGCGGTGAACTCCCTGTTTGGCTTGGGCCTGGGGTGGGGACGAGCAACAGCAGCGCAAGACTCTCGGAGGGCAGTGGTAGGCGTTCTTCCATCCAGGCTGTTGGGCCAGTAGCGCCGAGCCGACAGCCCAGATCGCTGCGCGGCCTTAAGATTCCCGGAGGCAACGCAACTGTTGACCTGGTAGGCCAGGATGGCCCAGATTTGAGATTTGTCATAGTGGTCGGACAAGCCAGGCAGTGGCCCGCCAGAACAGTGGGCAGCCCAGCTTCGAGATGCGTCACTCATTCCATGTCACCCCCCGCTCACCCATCCTACCATACACACCTTTCATCCTCCACCTTTTCTTTTCCCCCCATCACTACAGGGAAAGCCCAATCTATTCAGGGGGCCAGCAGTCCGGTTGCTTATCACCAGCAAGGATGAAACAGAGTACAACATAGGAAGACACCTCCACCATTCACATCTTCCAAATCCTGCACTTAGTCCACAGCACACACGGCAGGGAATAGACACCTTCCCCTTCACACGCTCAAATTGCCGCCCCCGGGAACCAGAGCACATACACACCTTCACCATTCATGCCTTCCAACCTCCGCCTTTTCATTCCGTCATCATCCGCGTCCCCAGAATCTTCCACCTGTGAACAACAGTAACAGGGGGTCACCATAACGCAGCCATCAAGGAGCACCGGTGAGTAAAGGTCCACAGGACACGACGATTGCCAATACCAACCTTGTAATTCCAACCACCTTCACCCTAAGATGAGCTCACTTCCAAATTCCAATTATTCATCATACAAACATAGTGACCCTAAGATGAGCTCACTTCCAAATTCCTACGGAGTTCATACTACAGAGTACGGCATACACATACTGCATTGCTCATGGAGCAGAGTACATGCACGTTGTAGTTCACAGGTAGAAGTAAGTGTGCTATGTATATAGAGTATTATAGACAGTATATGATCATCTATTCAGGTGACCGCATGCGAGATAGTGTACAAGGCACAAAAATTCACAGATAGCACATGAATACTAATCAACAGCATATAGACGGTAATGGATTCTACATGCACAGTACATGCATAGTGAAATTACTACATGCATTGCACAAGTAATATATGCATAGTACATGTACTATATCCATAGTACATTTGCTCTGTTTGCTAGGTGCTTAGTACGAGTACATGCATAGTGCAATTACTAGATGCATAGTACAAGTAATATATGCGTAGTACATGTAGTATATCCATAGTACATGTGCTCTGTGTGCTATGTGCATAGTAGGTGTGCTATGTATAGTACATGTACTGAATGCATGTTAGATAGTGTATAAGGCACAAAATTCACAGAGAGCATATGGATACTAATCAACAGCACATAGACGGTAATGGATTCTATATGCACAGTACATGCATAGTGCACTTACTCCATGCAAAGCACAAAGTAATATATGCAGAGTACATGTGCTATGTGCATAGTACACGTACTATACCTCTAGTACATTTGCTCCGTGTGCTATGTGCGTAATATATGTACTATACCTATAGTGCATAGTATGTGTGCTACGTACACAGTACATGTACTAAATGCATAGTACATGCATTGCACATGCCTGGTGTATCAATGGCTCTCCATATATGATGAGAATAGGACAAAGTAGACTGCAGAGCAGGCAACCACTTTCACGATAATTATTTATGTCTGAAACTTTGCACATCGTTGTGTGTGGTAGAAATGATCCTTGAGGGCATACTCACACTAGGACTTTTGTACTTATTTATGGACGTAATTGCACACATGCATGCAGCTCCGGCCATAAATGCAGTCGGATACATTTGAAATACAGCTAGTGTCGGTATGCCCTGAGAAACCTAGAAAACTCCTAGGAGAAAGGACCTTTCTCTCTCTCTCTCTCTCTCTCTCTCTCTCTCTCTCTCTCTCTCTCTCTCTCTCTCTCTCCCCCCCCCACCAAAGCCATAAGTTCAATCGATTGAAATGGCACATAAATACTAGATACAGCATCAGGCCCCCCGCACACATACCTTTCTTTTCAATCGCATGCCATCGTTGACGGGCAATGCCGAGCCCCTGCCGTGTGGATCATCATCACAGTAAAGACCCCCATATCTGAAACCATAATTGTCGACTTCGTCTTCACCCTCCTCCACCTTCACCCTCCTCTTCTCATCGTTCATGAGCAACTCCCTTAGCCATTGCGGCGGCTCCGTCGTTATCCGGTGCTTCTGAGCTATGGAGTTCTTGAGAATCCAAGGTGCATTCTTGAATGGCACATCCGCCGAGTCCCGGATGAAAGCCTTCAGCAGCGAACGCGGAAGTGGGTGCCTCTTCCTGAAAAGCACTGCTCGGTTTTCCACCGTCGCTGTCCCCTGTTCTATCTCCTGTCCATCTCCACCCTTGGGATGCTGCTGCTGCTGTTGTTCTTGGCCATTCTCACTGACTGTCCCTGTACTTCCTACCCATTCCACTCTGCACATCTCCCCACCATTGAAGACCTCTAGAACCTTACATCTCCAAATTTGGTCTCTCCAACAGGCGTGCACCTCTTCCCCAACAACAAAGTGGTCCCTAAACCTATTGTATATTGCCTCTACTAGCTCATCAAGTCGCTGCTGACCTGCAAAAACGAACAGGAACCACAAATCAAACACAGCATATGTCAACACCAGCCCAATCTCTCTCTCTCTCTCTCTCTCTCTCTCTCTCTCTCTCTCTCTCTCTCTCTCTCTCTCTCTCTCTCTCTCTCTCTCTCTCTCTCTCTCTCTCTCTATCTATCTATCTATCTAT